CATTCAGCCAAAGATAATTGCTGTTTGGAGAGCTTTCCATGCTCTCCAGTAAAAGTACATTTATCCAAGGGAAAAATACCTCTCTAAATCAGTATAACCTACAACATAATATTATTTTTATTGACATGTATGCTGTAATGCTAAAAATTGTTACGTGTTTGACTCAACCCAATAATTACACAGTATAAATGATATTCAAACAAGAGTGAATTGCATGGCAAAGATTAATTAACCAGAAGGTTACTTTACACCGTTCTTCAGGGAAAACCATATATTTTACTCTAAGGTTACAGCCTGTTGCCTTGCCAGAGTACTTTAAAGTAGTTTTGAAATTTCTTTTTTGAGGAGCAAGGCAATAAATTATTCCATGGGACATATTCTAAAGTGTAAAATTCTGCCGGTAGACCGACTTCAAAAGTTATGAACTATATAGTTGACTCTTGTTGGGCCATAAATGCTCCAGAGATTATCCATTTCAGGTCGATTACACTGGAGAAGAATTTCATATCCATACACTCAGGGGAGCTCCATTGGGCCAGAAAGATTACTGGTCCTTTCCCAAATCTGAGAGATTTTCATCCACTGCTGTGCCCTCAGGAATATCTCTTCTTCTTCTCATTTTTTAGTGTTTGAATAATTCTGCTTGAGATGATAATTAAACCTCTAGAATCTAATTCATGATATATTATTAAATACTTTTTAATCTTTCCATGTAATGCAAAAAGACTATGCAAAAAGAGTACCCAAGAGTCTCAGAAAAAAGGGCTTTATGAAATCAACTCCCTTCCAAATCATTAGCCTTCATGGTCCAAGCTCTTTGGTAGTCTCTTGGGAGGAGTATTTGTGTAGTACCAAAGGAATTCATTCACATTATTGTATGTTTCATCCCTATAGTCTGGATGCTTCAAAACTTTCTTATTAGGTGTGTTGGAATTTGATTCATGCTGCAGAACATGCTTGCACAGACCTCTTTGAGATTTTTTCCTTTCTGTACAAAAGGTGAAACAACTTTTGTTTTCAATCCCTTTTTCCTTTGCCACAGCTCTGCTGCCTCTCTTCTGTATAGGAGCACGATAACATATTTAAGCAATGCACAGCATGGCATTTTAACATTAATCCTTAATGTTATTTTATTGAGATGTGTAAACCTGTATATTTTTCACTGTCTCATACATGTCTAATTTCTTTTACTCTGTTAAATTCAGGCATAATTTAGGACGGAAAAATGCATTTTAGAATTACACCTGCAGCATGTATGACTTTTTCATGGCATGACAGTGATGTTTCAACAATCTATACATATTGATTTAGGCTGATAATAAACAATTTGATTAGGCTCTATCTATAGGCTGTCATTTCAATCACTGTCACTGGTCCAATAGAGTGGAAGGCAGCTAGCAGACACATATGGCAAGATTTCTCAAAATAAAAACTCTGGCCTGATTAGAGCCCTAGGTTCAGTGAATTGGACAAGACAGCTCAGCTGCCAGGTTATTAACTCCCTCAGAAAATACTCTGCCTTTTCCCCGGGGCCAGCCTGAATATTCTGATCTGGATCGATAAGCAATCTCCGGTGTGTACAAAATGCCAGCTAGAATCATTTGTCTCAGTGCAGTCTCCTCACAAAGGATAAAACACCTGCAGTATATGGCCTTCCCTCCCTCCTCCCCCACCTTCCCCTTTTTAACTAATGACCCACAAAGAAGGAAGAAGTAACTGAATCTGTTCCATCATCGGGAAGGCTCTCTCAGGTTTGTTTTAATGATCACAATGGCTACCTTTCAATCTTATAAAAATTATATCAGTCATGGTTTCCCTGTGGCATGTTTATGTAAGTAATGTGAACTGCAGTGTAATGACAAGTGTACAGATGTCATTGTAAGAGGGCCCTTGGCAAGAAGATATCTCAGAATGTCAGAATTTTAATAAACCGCGGGCTGCTGGTAGGGTTCTCTTTGGTGGTTGTCTTTTATATTTGTAATGTGTGCTGTGATCTGTTGCTTGGGCCAGAGATTTTTCAGGAGTGTTTAGCAACAAAGGATATTTTACAATTGATTAAAACAGAATTATTATTTTCCAGAGTTGTGGTGTTTGCCCAGTCTGGTATATATCTGCAGTTAGGTTTGTAGTGGTGGTGGATTGTAGCCATATAACTTTTACTTTCTTTAGATACAGACCAAAACATGGATTTTTAAAATCTGACTGAATTCAGTACTCTTCAAAGGTTTGGACATTATTTTCTGAAGAAAGAACAGCACTTTATAAGTGCCTTACCCTTCCTTCTTTTGGTTAGAGAGCGTAGCAAACTTCAGAGTCCCTGCTTTACTGTTCCATTTTCCTAATCTCAACCAAAATCAAAATTGTAGAAGGGAATGAAAATACCATTAGTAAGAACAATCCTTACAAATATGAGGTACATTCAACACTTGAAAGAAAATATGACTGTGATATCATGATGATACAGGTTCTCTCTGTCTTTTCATCTGGATTGTGGAAATATTAAGAATCACAGGTGGTGATACTTGTCTCAGAGAGTGGTCAGCTGTAAAGTTAACACAGAACAAAGAATTCCCAGGCTTTGATGTGTGCAACTTCAGCATTTTGGTTCTGGTTAGTCGAGAACCCTTGTCTTTTTTAATATCTAGGAAAAGGATATGTGCTTTCTCTTTCAAAGTTCTGCTTAATAGATGTCTTTTTCTTCTTACATCTTATCTTCAGAGTTTGTTCCCTGGATATACTTATTGTCTTATGTGCTTGAATTTAAATACAGTTAAAAAGAATGTTGATCTGTTAATAAGCACCCTTGACTCAAAATCAAATAACTGCAAAATTGCAGAAAATCCCCAGTTCTCCAAGTTTTCTCTCCTTCATTGGTTATGTATTATACCTGGAACCACAAGGCAGAACCTCCTATTGCCCAACAAGTCTAACATCATATGCCCCATGTTGTCAAGAAATAAAAGCTGAATCTCCTTAGCTATCTATGTAGAATATTTACTGAGCAAATTCTAACACTGAATACCTGTTTCTGAGTATAGATAAGATTCTTTGAAGAATAGAGGCCAGTTTTAACCTGTTTTTCCAGGCTATTGAACTAGCTCCTCATTCAGCTAGTAAATGACAACATCCTTCTGACCTCAATTTGTGTAACTGTTTAGCTCTGTATGCCTGTAGAAAACTTACCTTGGATTAATGTAAAGTGGAGGTCCACACCTACTTAAAAAAGAAAATTTTTTTTGTGTCACTTTTGCTTATGACAAATTAGAAAGAAAGCATTTTATGTTTGTACTGCCATCACTTGGAAAAGAAGGTTTGCACTTACTCTCTGTCTTTTTTTGCTGGGTGAAGTGTCTTTGCCCTGATAGTGTCAAGAAATTAGAATACTGTCTTCCAGACAGCTTCTTTCATATTTGCCATCCAAAACTTGGGGAACTAAAGATGCTTTTAAATAAGAACAATGTAAGGAACAACATTAATGAATTGATTTCTCAATGTAAAAAACACATTTCCCATTAAGACACTTATTAGAATGTTTATCTCGGAGAAAATGCACACAGTTTATATGAAAAGCTGATGTTATGTTAATTTCCATTATTATATACAGATGATATTGAGGAAGATGGAACAAAGTGCCTTTAAACCAAAGCTGATGACATTTTTTTTTCTTGTTTGCTACAGTTTTATTGTAGTGAAATATGTTCATTTTAGCAGTGGAAAACTGCCCTAAATAGACAGCATAAGAGCAATAAGATTCAGAGCACAGTTTTAAAATGATGTGCTCTGGAAGTAAGGCTTTTAGACATTTTGGTTTATGTATTAAAACTTCCCACAAATTTGATTGAGAATGAGTCTTCGATGGATATTTGCTGCAGTTATGCTGCATTAGACTCGATTTATCCACCACCTCTCATTGTTGCTATTGATTGATTTTTAAATTAGATGAAGGCAATCAGTAAATACCACCCAATCAAGTCCTAAAAACATACAGGAGATTAGACAATTTAGGGTAATCAATGAAAATATTCTGTGATTTGCTACCACTCAATTTTGACCATAAATTACGACCATAACTTGCAAGTTAGTAAGCCATAAAACAAGTGGATGTGACAAGAAAAACTATAAGAAATGAATTAAGGAGATGAAGAGGAACCACTAGTGTTGTCATTTAACGAGACAAAATTACTCTTTATACATATCTTGTGTTTCTGGTTGAGTCTTGCCAACAGTAGTGGAGTACAGGAGCACTAACCTTTGCTCATTTTTCTAGAGTTTTTGGGGTTTTTTAGTGTAGCAAAACAGTTTGAACAATAATTAATCTAACTAATTTTATTGCAGCAAATAAATTAATGTAATTTTAGGTTTAAAACCAGCTGCTTGCTAAAACCCCTCACCTACATCACAGACACTTGCAAACACTAATTTTAAAGTCACACTTCTCTACAGTGTTATATCTTACAAACTTTAAAGTGTAACAACAATTTAATGTTATTTTAGGACAACACTTTGAAGAAGCTGTGCTTATACACATTCTCTGTGATACATGTCACCCATTTTCTATATTCTCACAACAGTCTAATTGGGAACTAATAATTCACATGCCTTACAAAAAAAAATCCCCTTTAAAGCTTATTTACTAATTGTAAATAGGTGTCCAAGTTTTTTCTATTTGTGAACTTCAGTATCTATTTGGAATTTCTAGGCATTATCCATCCAGTATTTCTAGACTGAAAAGCTGCTTATAAATACATAAACAATCATTAACAGCTACAGGCTCCCTATTATTTATCAAATATTTATCAAATCTTCTCACTTAAAGAAAGTAATACAGATGGGACACTGCTGAGTAGCATGCAGAAGTGTTCCTGGTTAATGCCTTTACAATCCTCCTTAGAATAAGGAAGAAATTTGGAAAAGGACAATTTTTGGGAGTGTTAATCGTAGAAAAGTAGGATATAAGATGCTTTTGACAAGAGGAAAATTCATGTGCTTTTTTTTTACAGGGAACAGAAGTCTGAGAGGCCTGTAAACCTCACAGTACACCTGGAAAGGTGATGAGAATATAACGTTGGACAGCACAGGAGGAGGAAAGAATACCTTCACTGCACTCACAGCCACTGAAATACCCAAGTGCCTTTGCAGAGTCTGATGATAGAGCAATTCTTGTGATAGCACACAGATGCAAAATGCACAGGTGGAAATATTGAAAATACATGGATTTATATTGACTGATTTCACATTGCAGTGGAAAAGCAAAAATCTGAGTAAAAAGAAAGCGATAGTGATGTTGCAAACAAAAGATTAGTCAGCAAGTACTGACTCTGCAGCCACAGGTGGACTCTGTGTGTGTAAAAGTAATTTCCTTTAGCCTAGGGCTTTAAGAATCAGGATTCACATTTCTGTGCAAGTGTGTGGAACAGCAGAACAGAATAAGTCCATGTAAGTCCTGGGCCCCTTACAAAAATATGTTTTACTGTGTCAAAAGCGCTTACCACCTGAATTCTGAATTTAACATTAGAAAACTGTCCAAGTCTGGTCTTTCATATTTTCTATGTGGTTTAGTACATCCATCTAAGGCAATCCAGTCTGAAGAAGAACTACATGAATCCCAAGTAAAATACAAAATATACACCAGCTTGCTAAATATATTTTTAAAAAATATATAATTTTTTCATTAACTCCTCTTTTCATTAACTCCTGAATTTTATCTTTTTCTACAGGCTCATAAGATTTTAAGACAGAAATCAATTCAGTGCTAATAATACTTTTTCTTCCTTCCATTTAAATTTGGTACTAGAGGAAACTTCTATATCTTACATCGTTGGCATCATTTCTGACAAGTATGTATAATGAGACTGGAAGACAAACAATTCTCAAAAATAATATTCCTCCCTCTGAAGGTAATATTTTTTTCTGAAATTTGAGACTCTTATGTTAATTTGAAATCTCCTTTGGAAATGCATTTCCAGCTTCTTTCTAAAAGATTTTGGATGTGATTGAACCTTTGGTGGAAATTTGCAAGATACACAGCTAGATTGTGAAGGCAGGAAATGAAACAGCTCAGAATCTGAATGAACTCTGGAGCATTTACATTCTCATATTTAAATATTTGCCTGAATTACATGTGAGCTGTAACTTTTCACTCACTGCAGTTTTTTGCATTCTCTGTAATTAACAGTACTAAGACAAATCGATGTTTACGTATTTTAATGCATCAATGTATCATGTTCAATCTCATGTTTCTATGAGTTTAAAAACATACAACACAAAACCCCAATAACTTCTAGCAAAGAGGGCAGGAAAGGGAGAGAATAAAGAAAACCCCTGACTTTAAACAAAGACAGGGACCTACTTGCAGTTCCTGATGGACTGGTGCAATACAATGAAGCTGGTGTATTCAATATAACTTTTAGAATAATTGCCTGGGAGGTAACCAGAAGAAGTACATTTTACTTTATCATGGTACATAAATAAAAGGGCAGACTAATTAATCATATAGCTTACTAAAAGTGCTTTTTATTTTGCCATTTAGTATGCCAGAAAGATCATTTTCTTTAATGTATATACCCAGTATTAACATGATTTAATCCATCATGTTCTGTATTATGAAATTACTTTGTTTTACTCCCTGATCCAGCTGAAGATCATTAACCCACACTATTTTCTAAGTCATACATCATTTGAGTGTATTACCTCATATAGCAAAAAAGCTACTTCTCTCGGTTATACACTCCAACTAAGAAATCATTTTTTCTGGATGTTGCTGACAAGCAGAGCTGTTTTCATTAGAAAGCAGATGGTTCTCAATTTCGATTCTGTTTTACCTTCACATTTGCTCCAGCTCAGAGTTCTTTGCTGCCAGTCACCTCATTACCTCTTGCAGCATCCACATTCTATATTCCAGACCTGTCTATAAAATGTGCTAAACATGCAAGTACTTTGCCTTACCCCAAGACCTCGTTTTTTTACCCTGCATCCTCACGTGTTGTTAGTCTTCAAAAAGCAGTGAAAGTGCAGGCAGTCATCTGAGCAGGAGGTTGAACTCCCACAGTTTTGCAGGTGTCTGTTAGCTGAGAGTGCCAAAGGTGTAATTTACACTTCCAGATTTTAAGCTTGGACGTGAAGTCACACTACTGGTGAATTTGCCTCCTACAGCTTTAGGGCAGAATCTGGCCTTCTGTCATTTCTTGCAGTTTACAGTTGTGATGTTCATGACATTGATGTTTTCACTGTGTGTTCTCCAAGTCTATATCATGTATGTTCTGACTGGGCTGCCCTGATACCCTGGTAAGTGTCGATAAATAGTGACCTGCAATGTAAACGGAATGTGTGCACAATAGAGTAATGGGTCATTTGGAGTCAAAATGAAGACTGGATAGTTACTGAAGATATACCTTGGATTTTTTTGAATAAAAATGAATAAATAATGTTTTGAAATAGTTGCACTTCGGAAGTGCAGAAGTAACAGAAGTAGCACCTGCTAAGTTTCAGACTGAGTTCAGTTACCTCTAAGCATTTGCTTTGAGAAGTAGACTCTCATTCTAGTTCAGGCAAGGAGACTAAATGCTTTCATTGCTTATATGGGAAGCCATGTACTAGAGATTAAATCCTTAGAGGTGAATCCATCAGTACATAACAGTTCTTCTATAGCATATATGGTTTTGTTTTGATCATTCTGTATGTAGATAAGACTCAAACCTTGTAATAATATATTCTACCTACTTTGTGTAGTTTTCTCTGGTTTCTACACAATCACAAACTCCATTTTTATTACTACTTTCAGGAAGTTTTCAGGAGATGAGGTTTTCTTTTTTTTTTTTGCACATACTTCATAACTCATGCCAAATTTACCAGTTATTATGACCTCTTTTACTTGCTATATGTAAAGATGCTATCTTCTTTATTCAGAGTGAAAACTGACGCAGAGCTTGGCAGAAATAAGGGTAGAGTATTGGGATGGCTATTTGATTTTATTAATTTGAAGGACAACATCTTCACTGATCTTAAACTGTATCATGGGTGGGATGTGATTTAGAACAACGATTCTTGTAGAATTTTCACGGAAATTGAAGGAAGAGTAAAGGCCTTTAATGAACATGCTTACAAAATTCCAAGAAAATCAGAGATTTGGAATTGTTCCAGGCATATATGAATCTGTTTAGTTATGTTTTGTTATAGTTTAATAATCCACTGTACAAAGAGTTTTGAAGGAGCTGGGGGGGGAACATAAATCTACAATGTTAACAAAGCCAAAGCTGAAGGTCAGTCTGCAGTTAATAACCATGCTCAGTGGTATTATTTTAATGATGACACAATATTTAAGCTACTGAACTTGGCACTGTAAGTAGCTACGTACGTTGCACAGAGTGAAGAAGTATGCAATTGGTTGAGCTTGAGTTTCGTGTCTGTTCATAGTGTCCATGATTTCTGTTCTACTCTCAGCCAAATGTAGCTTCAGCATCCAGGCTGAATAAACCTCACCTGAATAAACCACACAGCTGTAATTCAGCTGCAAATAAAGCAGGGCAAAAATAGTAGGTGCAGGTGGTGCTGCTTACACATTGTGAGCCAGAAACAGAAAAAGGTAAGTCATAACACAGATTATCTTCTGCAGAAGGAGTGGGGTGCAGCTGTCCCTGGGGCATTAGAGGCAGTGCCTGTACACAGTAAAGTCTCTGCTGCAGAACTTGAAGCTCCTCTCGTTTGTGGGGACAAGACTGCCAAAGTGATGAGAAAAGAGAAGACTCCACAGTCTTCTGAATGGACTGGATTAGCCCACACTGAAAAAGTGCAGCTCCACAGTGGCAGAAATCACCTTACTGTCCAGTTTAAAGTTAGCCTGGGCATGTGTGGGCAGCTGGAGTGCAGCCCATCCATAATCAGCCTCCCAGGCCACTGCTCTGCAGGCAGCACAGACTCTGCCTTTGCACAGCTGTAGAGGTGAGTGCCGTGAGTGGCATGAAGTGCCCTCTGTCCAAGAGATTTCTGTGCCAATACCAGGTTCCCCAGGGCAGCTTCCCAGCTATGATAGTGACTGTTAAATGGAGTTACCCTAAGCTTGTCTAGATATCATAGTCTACTCCCCCAGCTATCAGTGTATCACAGGTGTGTTGGTAACTATCATTTTCTGACTGTGATGCCCAAATGATTTTGGAATTTACCTCCAGGAAACTGAGAGAAAAGATGGACTTTTTGGTTTGTGCCTTTGAGTGCTCCACAGAATGGGATTTAGCATTCATGTCACATAAGCCAATTTTTTTTTTTCTGCTCAAGACAGTATTGTGCAACTACCAAATTCAGTAGATAAAAATAATTATCAAAACTGGAAAAGGATATGGATGTAAAAAAAAAAAGTTATACTGTGAACTGTTGGTATGAAACTTTGTTTTCAGTATAAATAATTTAGTGGGGTTTACTTCAGCAATTGTGAACTTTATATACACGAAACTTCCCTCAATTTTTCTTGCCTTGAATTTGTCCCTACCTGAATGCTAACAAGTATAATCACATAATATTATAAAGTATCAAACCCTGGTAAAATAATTCCTAGAAAAACAAATGGCAAGGCACGGAAAATTATGGCGTAAGATCTTGACAAGATAAAATAGACGGTGAAGTACAGCAGGTGTCATTCTAGGATTTGTGTGTTTGTGCATGTGCACTGACACTCCTGATGTTCACATAAAATACAGGTAGAAACTTCATTCTATGGGAAAAATTTATGTAGACTCTTCAAAATTATATCAAAAGCAGTTAAAAAATGCAAACTATTAAAAAGTGATATAATAAGATAGCAATTTCTTTATAAAAATGTCCTTTGCATTTTTTTAACACTGTTTGACTTTCAAGCATGTTTTACTCTTTTCAAATAACAAATTGACCTTTCCAAATTCATAATGAGGTATGAAATAAATGAGAGAGTACTGAAGGTGAGTAATTCATTAATCATAAGCAAAACAGGGATGAAATCAAGGACACAGGAGCACAAACTGTAAAAATAATAGGTTGCGTAATCATTGTATTTAATATTAACTACATTATGTTTTTCATGTAGGTTCTGAGAAACTGTTTTTTTATGTTTACATGAAACTAATCCAAGGTAAATTTTATTTCCCAACATTATTTTTCCTAGTCGTTGCCCTCTTTTTAATAAACTAGAAGACAATGTGTTTTAGCTTGTCACACTGTTATGAAGATTTAATAGAGGGATTAGCAGGAACATTTAAGCCTACTGAAACTTTTGATTTAAGACATTCCACTTTTGACTAGAATGTACCAAATCATGTAGCTATATCCCCTTCTTGTTTGTCATGGCAAATCTCCCATTGTGGACATAAATTCATCTGGAATTGCTTGTTTTGGCCAAAATAAATTGTTATTCATATTCCTCTGTCAGAGAAGGACAGAGGAAGAAATATTAGTTACACAATTCTGAGTCTTTATTCTTCAGAAGTTCAGTCCACAGTGATTACACAATGTGCCACAAGGTAGTTCACAGTTTACAGGTGACATGAGTATTTAAATAGTTAGTTAATCCTGGTGGATATAATAAAAATAATTTGTTTCCCCATGTCAGATTTCAAGAATATTTATTCACAGAACAAACCAGGTTAGAATATGACAAGGTGGACTGGTGGCACAGCAAGGAGTCAGCTCACTTCAGAATCACTAAACAGATGCTTTTCCCTGTCCCATACACACTCATTTGGATGGAGCTGGTGTTGATGCTGCTCTTACTCGTTATTTTGTAATATGCTGGACTGAGAAGGAGAAAGAGGAGAAAAGTGCAGAGTGAGAGCTATGCACATAACTTGCCATTATATCACTTTGTTTTGTGATCCCCAGTGTGATACACATTAGCACCCTGGTCAGCTTTTTGCTCACACTGTTTTTAATTATAATTAATCCATGTTGTTTTGGTGCATATAAATGTTTGACTAATCAATTACCTGCATTTTGACTACAAAACAGGCATTTCGCATTATTTCCATTCACAATTTTTGCAACTTGAAGCCAAGTTCTGTCTGCAGTTCTGTATTCTGAGAGGGGAAAAAGTAGCTGTTGATTAAAGGTACGTACTCTATCATAGTCATATGTTTTCATAAACCTTGGTGAAGAAAATATCTTCATTTTTAAAACTCCCATTTAACTAATTTCCTATTTTCTCTGCTTGAACATTTCTACATTTTATAAATTATATTCATGTTAGATTCACACTGTGCTTAAGGTGTTTCTGCAAGGTGCTAAAGCCAGTAATTGTTAGTGATGTTTTTCTTTCTAAAGAAATATAAAGGACATGATGTTCCATGAATAGACTGGTATATTAAGTCTGAGGAATTTGCCCAGATCTCTTAAAATCATACATTCCACTCCTGTGTAAGTGGAGAGATCATCTTAATATATTTACCTTCACTTTAGATGCAGGTGGTTTAAATATGGTACTCTGGTTTAGATTCCAGAGCAAATAGGTTACCTATGATATTATCATTCCCCGAAATATATTGCCAAGCACTGCCTTTCTCAAGCAATGTGGTTAAAGGGTTCACTCTGTCCCCAGTGGTCCTCTGCTTGAATGCTTTTCCCAAGCTCCAGATCAATCTTTAACTCCTCACTTTTAAATTAAGGTGAAATACCATGGAGAAGAAAGGGAACATAAATACTTCCAAAATCCAAGCAAATAGGTTTTCTCACTCTTCCTTCCCTCTCCTAAGCAAGATATGAAAGTCCATGAAGTCTTCTGTGTTCTAGACCAGGTATTTTCAAATTTTTTGAGCCAATCTCTAATGTTTCAGCAGAATATATTTTTTTCCAAGACACCTTCTAATACTGTTACAGAATCTTCAACTCGGTATCAGAAACATTTTGCTATGGGCATGAGAAGTCTGTCACTTTAGAAAATTTCAAAAAAAATATCAGAAGAATTTTCCTCTCATAGGTACCCTGCCCTGTTCTTTGCTTGGTGTCTTGCATGACCTGGACTTCTCTGTACCTGAAACAATCCAACTCTGCAAAGCTTTCAGAGGCTGTTCTGGCAACAGGTGGATGGTAACTTTCTACCCAAAAGTTAAAAGGTGAAAAGAGTTTGGCTTCTGCGGGGACATGGACTTGTTTATGTCTTCAGCATATTTGAAATTTCTGTTAAAATATCAACCAATGCATTCATGAAACATGAATAGTTGTAGGAATGCATTTTAAGCTAATGCCCTTTCCCAGGTTAATGATTAATACAGTGAGAACTCAGCTTGGTATTTACTGTATCATGACACAAGTCAATTGAACTCCAAGCAAGTCATTATCTATTTTATTTATTTGTTTTTTTAAAGTATGCAATGTCAAATTATTAACTTCTGGGGTAGAAGGGTAGTAAAAACACGGGTCAGGCAGTACCCATGGAGTCTTGTGGGACTCACTTGTTCACACCCTGTGTGGTGTATAAAGAACAGAGTTCTTACAGAAGAAGGCTTTCTGTTTCCAATGCATTAAATAGATTTTACAAAAATATGCATTTCTGTATTCATTACTGTATTAAAAAAACACTTGCATTCTCTATCTGTTTTTCACTTGTTATCAGAGTAAACTGCACCTTCAGTTCTCCGCATATATACAGTGCTACTTATTTCCTGTGGGAATTAATTTTTAAATTATTTAAAGGAGAGAAGGACTAGAAGTTTTCCATATCTTAGGTACTCAGAGACTTCAAGATCAATTTTTACTCATGCTGAGATTTTTCAAATAGTTTTGTTTCATTTATTTAAGCTTTATGCATGTTCAATTTTTAATTTTGTTCTGCTCCTTCTCTTTATCATATATTGAATAAACATTGATTTAGAAATTGAAAGGGCATTTTACTATATGATAATAATTTAAATAATTCAGTCATCAGTAGTAACTATTCAGTATTTCTCCCTTAGAAAACTGGTGGAGCTATAAAACTGCTATAGGTAAAGTTGAGTTCTGTAGAGAGAGAGAGATTTGGTAAAGTTTGTTTTGAAATTTGGGAAATCTGTTTAACAACTCACAAAAGTAGTTTGAAAACATGGCTTAACTGTTTATTTGAGTTTTAGGACTATGCTAATGGAAACAAATTAAATATTTTGCTCATTCTCAGTATTCTAAAAAGTTGAAATAGCAAGTGGAGAATATGCTGTAAAAGGATTTATTCATCAGGAGAAAAGATCACTTGAAAATTTGGCCACTGTTGAATGTCTTTGAAGTTCTAATTTGTATCAACAAATATGCCTAATTCAAAATCAGTTTTCAATGGACCAACTAAGAACACTTTACTCATTTGTTTTCCTGCCAAATTTTGATATGATCACGAACATGTCAGCACTGTGGCTGTTGAAAAAAATTAAAATTTTCAATATGCTTAATTCTGTAGGAAGGGTGTTTTATTTTACTAGAAAAACAGGTATTTTGCTTGGAATGGAAATATTACCTTTCAGGAAAGATACTGCTTGGAAAATTCTGCGTGAAATGTGAAAGCTTCAGAAAGTTGCAAAACCCTAAAATTTTTAGAATTTGGATTGGAAGAAAAATACTTGGACAATATTAACTATCCCATTGCTAAACCTGTAACGAGACCTTTCTTGTCTGCAAAGATATTAAGGTCTTTCTAATTCCATTTTGCAATTCCTAATTTTTTCATGGTAACCCAGCCACAGTTTAAAGGCTCAAAGGTGTTTCACCTAATTTTCCTTATATCTCCAGATAGTGCTTGGCCAAGTTATTTAGACACAAATAAGCCTTGAGAATATCATCAAATCCATTCTAATTTCATTCATGCCTTGGAGATAATAATTTAAAGAGCTAGTCACTGCTTGCAATTAAGCATGGAGAAAATAGATCTGTCCCATAATTTATGTCTGCAAAGGTTGGGCTGGATTTGTAATTAATGTTTGCTCCTTTTAATGAAATACTCCAAAGGTCTGCACTTCTGTCATTCATGGAGGTAATTTTTCAATTGATTAGTAAAATAATACTTGAAAAGTAAATGCACCTGCTTTAGCACAGAAATGTCTTAGTCAAGTAGAGACAATGATTGGAGTGCTAAAAAAATATCATTTCAATACAGTAGAGACTGGAGTTTTACTCCTCCAGAATTCAGAACTCCCACTAAAGAGAAAAAAGAGAAAAGGTAATTAAACCTCCAACAACTTCTTCAGCATGCTTTCATCCAGTTTAATTCCTGAGTGGTTTTCAGCATAGCTAAATACTTTTAGGAACACATGCCTGAACTGTGCATTTGTACAAGTGAAATATGTCTGGAAAGCATATGTTACAGCAAGACATAATTTTTATATTTTTGTACCTTAGAATTTTGAAGGGGCATGAACAAATCATTTCAAATTGGAAGTTTGTTTCCATTTGGAATAAACACTTAGAATTTGACAGCTCATTTGGATTCTATTCTTATTTCCATTTCAGAATCAAACCTGCTCAAGCAGGCAAAATGGCAAGACTTGAGAGTTAGGTTTAAAATGGCTTGTTATGTCCTTCCTATAAAACAACCACTATCAAAGGAAAATTAAATGAAATAACAAGCCATCTCCGACTGTTTTCAGGGAATTGATAAGGATTTTGTTTGAATTAATCACTCACTGCTTTTTTAATTTAGTCATTCTGACATAAAGTCTTACTATTTCTCTACTACAGAGACCTCATGTTTTGTAACAGTGAGCACTGTGGGATTGACTGTAAGTTGATTAGACAGAATGCAGAGTAGAAACCACAACCTATGCCAAATTTCTCGGGGGCCACAAATATGGTGATCCAAGAGGTTTTGAACCCTGTGTCATCTGTGACAAGGATTTTACTTTCAGAGAAAGAAGCAGCAAGAGAAGTGAATAAATGTGGTGAAAGAATCCCTTATCCAGTGCTCAGCCTAGTGAAGGAGAGTAATCCAGACACTGGAGCAATGTGTGTCATCAGAACATTTAACTTTAAGGGTAAAAGTTTATAGTTTTAATGCTATGGTTTTAAGTGTTTGAATCATCTGAAGGATCCAGCTATTATTAAAGCATGAGCAAAGCAGCATCTAAGGACTTTTAAAAATCTGCACCTTGAACTCGGTATAACTCCCATTAAAGTCAATGCATGCTGAGTCAGACTTTAATTCCTTTTGTACCCTAGAGATTCAAAAGGTGAAAATCCTGGCACCACTGATGTTTTGCCATTGACTTGTAGGGTCAGGATTTCGTGCTGAAAGCCATAAAATGACACTGACATTTCGTCATTGCTGTCTTGGATCAGATTCATAACAGTGACCCAGGAGGGAAACATCTGCATAATCCATTACTACTGTGCATCTACCCAACTCCATCTCACCACCTTCTACCTTGTTTAAAGAGAGGGAATAATCTATGATTTTGAGCTGCCTTTATTTTAGTAAAAATCAAGAAGAATGGAAAAATCCTGATATTCATTTTTCAATCACCTTATTTAAACACTCTAAGTAAATTCTTGATTATTTTATATTTTATGTTAATTGGAAACTTTTTTTTTCAAAATGAAGGAGGTTTTGTTGGGTAGTTTTGGTAATTTTTTCAATACTATTCTGAAAAGGGGTTGTAGTAAAACCAGAAGGCAAATTTCAGATTTATAGTCCCTTGTGAATGAAGTGCTTATGATTAAAAGTGAGAACTATAGAGAGTTTTTATAATTCCTTAATGATCCTTAACGAAATATTTAATTAAAGACCAGCTGGAAAGATATTCTTGGTTAATAAAAGGAAATCGGGGGATGAATTGATTTCTATAATGGCAGAGGACATGCAATATGTGATAGATGCTACATATCATCAGCAGTTAGATACAAGAAAGTGATAAAATATAAAATTATTCTGCTGACCCTATTAATTTGTTTTCCAGATTGCAAAAGCAAAATATTGGCTGTGCATGCCAGATGATAAAAGTAATAGTTTCCAAATTCATGGATATAAGTGTACTGAAAAATAGAATTTAAACCTTGTGCAGGAAATAGTACTATATTACGTGGCTACTGATTTTCAGATTTTTGATGCTGTAGAAGAATATGAACCTAATTGTGTCACCAGTTAGAGTGAAAAATAAAATCTGAAGCAACTTTACTGAATTCAGTGGAGTTTCTTGAATTTGCTGAAATTGATTAACTTTCCCATTGCTGTTCAATGCACATTTCTCTAGAAACACAGAGATAAACCAATAAAAATCACATTCACAGAAATAGACAGTAACTGAAAAAAAAAAACCCTTCCTCATCTTATTAAAGAAAAATGAAACTCAGCAAAAATTAAGTGAACTTTAATTGCATGAGGTTTTTCCTCAGATTTGTGGGATCACTGATGTAATTTCTTGGCTATTCTAGATAAGCAAATACATAGAAAATTTGTCATCTCTGTCCTTTCTGCTAGTCCCTATTACCCTACATTGCAACTTCTCCATGTTTTTAACTTTGCAAACAGAATTATCTTATTCATGGCATACTAATTAGTTATATAATTTAACAACTTTTTTGGTTATAAGCTGCATATTTTCCTTTTGTGCTGCACACAACTGACAGTGAAGGATATTGAAAACATATACACAGATTTGTCAGCTGGGATCTCACAATAACTAGATGACAAGAAAAAGAAATCATGCTTTTGGTAAAGCCCATCTAGGACAAATTGTACAGGAAATTTCTCCCAGCTGCTGCTTGTTATACACTGGGCCAACTGCAGCCAATGTAATACTCTGGAAGCAGGTCTGAAATCCAGGAAAAGATCCGTGAAAATATGAACCTGTAAGTGAAAGTATCCAACGATGACAAAACTGCGGTAGAGTTAAAGTAGTCCTATTAAATAATGAGCAGTAATAGGTGACTGACTGCTCTAAGTCACCCTATAAAGTATCTGCTACCTGCTGCAGGCTACAGGATTAATTCTGAAACATGCAATTTAGCAAAGGATCAAGACTTCAGTCTGTTTAGTCTTCAGCAGCAAATAAATTGGTGGCAAATGCTTTGGCATAGATTGTTGCATTACTTTGTGGCAGTCCCTGCATCCAATGCTTTCAGTTATAATTCTGTTTCTTCCTCTTGGCAAAGATTGGTCCTCTGTGTTCCTCAACTCAGCTTATTTTATTAATTGCAACTTTGGAAATGTTTAATGCCTATTTCTTCTTTCTAGGCTCATCTTCAAATACATGTATTCTTGAACCCCTCGTTTTCAAAGGTAAGAAATTCTCTCTATAAACTGTCTGGTCAGGTGAATAACTTGTCCTTGTTGTTCAAAGTCTGCATCCTTGTTTTAAAATTCATACATTTTGCTCATTATATTTGCAATATAGTCATATTTTTAAAAAATATACTGTATGTAGAGGGGAAAGGGAATACCATTGTTTGCCCACAAGGCCTTTACCTTCTGCTACTGCTCTTTGTACTTAGCCATGCATGCAGTTACCCAGTTCATGCTGCAGCTCTGCTGGTTAAAGCACTGAGCTTCTTGTGTAATTTTCATTTCCAAAGCTACAAAGCCTGGAAGAGCAGCCCCACACTGCATCTTCTGCGTGACTAAAATCGGAAAGCAAATCACCTGCTGCCACAACTATTATTAGTAACATTCAACTGAGAACAATGTGTAGCTCAAAGCAAGGGTAGAGACTCTGGGAGCATAAGCAAAGGTGTCACTGAGACAGAACTGTTATTCTGCAAAAGGCTGTGTCGCCCAAATGAACCAAATATTCTGCAGAGCTACAACAGACAGCTATCAGAGTAAAGCCAAACACGACACATGGGGCAAACGGTTTCAAATTATCAGTTATGAGCCTAAGCATTTTAATATAATTTCTGTTTACAAATGTTCAAAGGGTTTGCATGTATTTAAGAACAGGCATAGCTTGAACTGCAGTTGATCTACTTATTAAAACAGTAGATGTTTACACATTTCATTAGAAATTATAAATCCTGCCTGTGAGTTTTGTGCAAACTTTGTTTACCCTTCATTAAAACTTCTTTGTTAAGTGACTGCAGGTACTGAGACAATAGGTCTACTCATATTACTCAATTTTGTTTCTCTGACCTCCTTCTGAAGAAGTCTACGGAGACTAATTTAAAAATCTCCCTTATATTCCTAGAGGAAAGTGGTGTGAACATTCCTGTTTGTGTCAAACAGCACTCAGAGTGCAAATACTGACTTTACTGGAGTTGCTTGGACTTTCCACCACTCAATGAGACCTTGGTGTCCTATGAGTTTTATGAAGTTGAACATCCAAGTCAGGAGTGATCTAAAATTTCTGAGGAATGTATATTTAAATACAGGTTAATAATAAGATTTTAACTGTTTGTTTTCCTCTTAGCATCCGATGAAAGCATATATTTATATTCTGAGCTCTTGAAAATTAATTTCCTGGACTTCTCTAGGGATATAAGGATTGTGTACAATGCACAGCTTTTTCCTTGTATTATTTATGAACAGAGGGGTATAATCTAGTAGCAACTCCCTTTGTGCACAATTTTTTAAGAGCTTGAAGTCACTGTAGTTGCACTCCCTTTGTGCACAATTTTTTAAGAGCTTGAAGTCACTGTAGTTGCACTGAACTTAGAGATGAGAACAAAGCCCTCTTTCTCTTTATTGAGAGTTTTTACTTGGAATGTGAAACATGTTTACTTCCAGAATACCATGTAAATTTTTCTTAAAGAGGTGCTTTGCAAATAAGCTATTATGGTACTAAAGAAAACATTGATTAGTTTTAAATGGCAGTAACAATTCAAGTGCATGTAAAGACAAGTGCATTTGCTTTTGATGTTAAGCCTCTGAATTTAATAATTGAAGGAAAAAATACAATAAGGTTCAACAGAAGAAGCTTCTGTGAAGTGCATTATGCAATTATGAGTGCCGTAACTACAATTACCTTACCGGATCATAGTATGTTTTCTACTCAGACTGTTTTTTGAAACAAAATAATTTTTATTATTTTGTTATTTGGAAAGATGTACTATTTGGAAAAGGTTGTATGTTCTGTGATGATTCTGTTGATTTAGGAAACCACTCTTGGTTTGGGAAATCCAAAAACTCAAGACACCATTCAAATGAATACAGAATCCAGCTGAAGCAATCTATTTATTTTTAGTCTTGTCAACATTGTTTTCACATGTGAAGACTGTTTTTAGGGGATTTCTTTCCCAGTTCCCTCAGTTAAATCATGTTACATTTTGCTTAGCATACACAAGACCAGAATTATTAAAGACAGATTTTGACTGTTTATTGTGCTGCTTAACTTGGAGAATTGCATAAGTCGTTAATTGTCTAGATCAGAATCTGACTGTAGTATTCACAGAACCTGTGTGCTGGAAAGAAGCTGTGTGATGGCTGTGTTTACACAATCAAATCTGTTGCAAAAAGGAATACTATAACCTCTTCTTCATCACATAAAATAGGCCAAGAAGTAGGACTGCAGTTATGGTAGCAAAGATTTTGATTGGACTTAAGAAAACCCACAAAACAACCCAACTTTTATAACAGTAAGATAATAAAGCACTGAAATATAAAGCCTGGGAAATTTAGAAGTCTCTGTCTTTGGAAATCTGCAGGAGCAGGTTAAACAACAGCTGTCTGAAATTATACAGATACACTTGTCCCAACTCTCAATGTTTATTTCTATTATTCAAACAAAACTTCTATGTTGCATATCAGGGTTTGGGTTACAGGGTTTGGCCCATTTTGTTTTTGCTTTATCCAGCTTCATGAGTAACCAGCAGTTACATGATTTATATAATGTGTAACTGTGAAAATATAAATGCCACATTGGGAGATAGCAAACATATGTTATATTTCAAACCATATACCCGTGAATAAATTTCTGGCTTTTTATTCAGCTTCCTTTTTGTGTATGCATTATACATTATTTTTGCATGACCTATGCATACTTTGTTCTTTGTTTATATGTTTAAATTGCTGTTAAACACATGATACAGGTAGCAATTTGTGTGTAATATTACTTTTTTTTACATTTACTTTCCCACTTCATCCTAGCAGCTCATGGAATTTCTTACAAGTATTTAAAGGGAAAGTGAGTATTCAGAAAGTTGATATAGTGGGAGGTGGGAGTGAGACAGACTAATAAGGAGAGAAGCAGGAAAAGAGAAGGTATAAGAAAAAACTGTAAAGGATAGGGAGTATGAATTTAAAGCATTCAATTATGACCCAAATTAGGATTCTAGAGACTGAAATTCAATTTTGCATCTTGAAAACGGAAGAAGTAACAGAAGACTTAGTCTGGATGACAGAGGAAGTACATGTATTAACCAAGAGGTTGTACTGGATTAGGCTCAAAACTATACTGAGGTGGTGGGAAGGTGTTTGGCTAATGAAACAGTTTGCTAGTGGAAATAAAAGTCTGATCCATATTTAAGGGATTTTGGTGTAGTTCCAATAAGAAGCACATTTTAATTGTGATTGAGCTAAGGTTCCTTCATATGAATGTTGTCGTTTAAGTGTAAAAGTAAGGTATAAATGTTAAGAATGACTTTCCACAAAGAAAGATTTCCAAGAGTCTCTTCTTGTTCCTTATTAAAAATGTGAGGTGTAGGTTAGGAAGGAGTTTGACACAGCCATTTAGTTAAGGGGCATCGTGGTTGCTCAAATCATAGCCATAACCCCTCTGTGTGTTGGAGCTCTTCATATTTCGTATCAAATCTTCTAAAGTCACTTGATCTGTTTTCCATGGATGCTGCTATGTGCATACAGATATGTACACACTCATTTACAGTGATTTCTGATCTAGCATACTTCTGTAAAGACTCCAGCTCAATAGCATTAAAGATGATAAATGAATATATAAATCTAAGGGAAATGTATTAACATTAATAGTGAGGGTGGGGTTTTTTGCATAAAATAACTATGGTTACCAACATTTTTCAACGAGGTTCCTTCTCAGCTAAGTGTGTGCTGATAAAGATCTGTTCTATACAACATTTCCTTCTCATCTCACCACCCCATATCTGCAGTTTTTCCTTATGTCTATTCCTTTTAAAATCCAATTTTCTAGTTATACCAGTATTTATTAAAAGCTTGACTGTGAGGTCTTTGTTTATCCAAAGATCTATTTTTATCATAACTGTTTGTAATGATTAAACCTCAACAACTTAAACACTTTATACAAAATAATGTATTTTCAATAAATTGAAATATTAACCAATCATATGTAATGGTTTGGTTCTAGCAAATGGATTGCTAGAAATCCTTAGGGTTTCATATAAATTGAAAACTGTATTGACTGACCAGGCTGCACTCGAATTACATTGCATTTGGATCAAAAAGCATAGAAAAAGTTCTCATTATAGTTCCCTGACATTAATTTGAGCATTTTTATATGTGTGTCCTATTAAGTACTTTAAGTGCTTTTTGATAATTGTGCTTTGTAGTTTTTACAGCACTTCAGCCTATTCCCAGTTCAATTTCCTCTTTTATCCGATGTTTGAAATATTGATTTCTGACAGATAAAAGCAAACCTTATAATCTCAGCAGCATGCAATAAGTGAGTAAGACGGGGCTGCAGAATGCATCAGGGAATGGTCATATTTGAAACCGTCTTTGTTTTATTACATTTCGTCAACAGAATTTACTTACCGCTTGCTGATATTTATGTAAAAGCAGGACTCCTGATAGTCCAGTGATATTACCAGTTCCTGGTATACTTTTGCATTTAGTAAGATAAAAGAAGAAACTCCCTTGGTGGTTGATGATTGCAGCTGCTTAAACTGCTGTCAGCTGGCTTGAAGTAACTGTGATTTATCTTCCTCAGATTGTGCAGCGTTGTGTCCATGAACTTCCAGAGTTTGCATTAAAAAGTGACAGAACATCAGAGTGCCAGAAGCTTCTCATATTGTGGCCCTGAAGGTAAAAGCAAGAGAAACTCTGCTTGTTCTGTGTTTGGGAACACTGTCCAAACCTTCTGCAAAACTCTTGTGACATGAAAGAGATCTAAAAGAGATGGGTTGGGATTTTGAACACGGACTAAATACAATTAAGAGATGCTAAGGAGTACAGACTTGGTGCTTTGTCTTGCATGTTTTCATGATGTTTCTTCTGCAGTTTCTAAAAATTAGAAAGAGGAATTCAGTCCAATACAATTTCTAGTTGGTTAGTTAATGATATGTTAGGAATTCAGTTTGCCTTTATTTCCTTTTCCTTATCCTGTACAATCCAGTGTCTCACAAATGACACTATATTAAACATCTCTACTCAGCTCCATTAACACCTGCAGTAAAAGACCAGAATATACAGGAAATTAGCTGCTTCATTTCTGGCAATATTTCTTCTGAATTTGTGAAAATTTAGATCAGAATATTGTTTTAGAAGGTGAGAAAAGTTCCTTGGGTTACACAATAGCTTTGGCAATTGATAGTAAACCTATCAAAGTGAGAACACAAGTCTCCATCCTGAATATCAGGTTAGGAGCAAACTGAGTATCTTTCTCTTGAGAAACACATTTTTGAGAGGGATCGATTTACCTGAGAACACAAGCATGTGAAATAAAAGAATGGGGGATATGATTTTTATTAATTTAGACATTTCTAAGATGAACACTGAAATTTTACTTAATCCCAAATTAGCAATTGCTAATTCAGCCACATGTTTTTTTGTTCAATCCTGGAAAAACTTGAAACAACCACCTTGTATCTAGGCCTTCACACACTTGAGTATAGAATAATTTTCATACTAAGGACATTTTAAAATGTTATATTAGTGAATTTTAATTATTATGATGGACTAGAACTCTGCCAGTCATTTAGCAGTTGAAGTTTTCATTACTAAGCAATTAGCATTTAAAATTTTAAGTGATAGGTGCTTAACTGCATTCTGGAATGGTGAGTTGGTGATAGAGAAGCCAGGCAGGGTTCTGAGGAATGGCAAGTCCAGAAGAGGGATTTGGTTAAGGCTGTCAGGGAGAAAAGAGCTGCTGAGCTCTACAAGCTTTGATCATAACTTATAAATAAAAGCTGGTGGAGCCGAGCTTGCTCAGTAGCAGAACGTGCTAGAGATGGTGCCTGTAGGGGAGAGAACACAGTGGAGTAATTAGGAAGGCTTGGTTGCCCAGGAGTTGAGTTTAATGTGGTCAGAGCTAGAGGTCTAAACACAGGGATCATGGTGCATGGCCCAGTCAGTCCTCTCTCCATCTGGGCTTGGCTGCTGACATCAAGGTGTGCCAAGACATTTGCATACCAACATGTAAGCATAGACAGAAAGTGCTGTGGCTGATAGAAAGTGAGGCCTGACTGGAGCTAAGCTTTGCAGCAAGGTTACTTTAGTGATGATTTGACAGTTGGGAAGCTTGGACCAGCAAAACTACAGAACTGAAATAATTCAAGATTTGTCAATAAGGGAAAAGGTATAGGCACTATTGGTTGAATTATGCCTATATTATATGTACATTTACCTTGAATATTCAAGTAAAAATCTATGAGCCCCTAAAACAGCAAAATAATCTCTCTTTATGTTTTGGAACATGCTGGCTGCACCCAACCCAAATTTCTGTGTCTCAGCAGACCAACAGAGAGATATGTGTACATGTGCAGGTTATGTTCCTATACATTCCACATATGCAGGTAAAGCATCAGCAGCAAGGATTCTGCAGTGAGTGATATAATTGTAGACAATCTCCATTAGAATTTCAAAGGAGCTATTTAGCATTTTTCATATTGGATAGGTTATTTACAGTTCACTATTTAAAAGGAAAAAACATTGAGAAAGGTTTATCTTCTAATAAATCAAAACCATTATGACCTCAAGTCACAAAGCCTAAGGGTATAAAGGCAGTTGCAGAAGCTGCCTCTTGCAAAATATTATGTATACTATATTATACTGGCTAGCTGTATTAAAACTTTCTATGAAGAATTAGAAACAATTAGAAATGAAAAAATGCGATGTAGAAAAAATAGGACTGACAATTTTTTGTTGAGATTCTTATGTGAATCAAGTTGGAAAACAAGCCATTGAATACACCAACTGATAATTTTTAATGGCATGTTTGAATCTGACATTATATAATGTTGTATGCATGTGCATTCCAGTATTTTAGCTGACAGAACTATCCTAATGTTTTTATCTGTGAAATTTCAATTTAAAATTTAAATCTCAGTGTTTCAGCTGGTATCATTGAAAACATCAAACTAATGCTGTTAAAACTGAAGTGTTTGGAAAAGCTTCAGAAGACCAAACTATAATATCCCTAACTTTGTATATAGGAAGGATTGTGTTGGCCTCAATCAATTAATTCTAACCTCTGGAACTCCAGTAGGCTGCTTGAGGACTTAGTGCTCTATGTGTATATTTACAAGTATCTTTAGCATTTCTTTGTAAAAGGCAAGCTGGTAATATTAGAATATGTTTATATAATTAAAAAGTAACTCATCTACTTCATAAAACCAGTGTAGACTGAATTCCTTTTTTACCTCAGTCCTTCCACCTTCCTCTTTCTCTTTATTCTCTTTGATGTCTGCAGCTGTTGTCTGACAAATAAGGCCAGCAGCTGCCTGCAGTGCTACTGTTTTACCAGCTGCTAAAGGTCTGTGTTCACCAGGCACTGGGTCCTCTGCCGGCCTGTGGTGCAGAGTGTTTGTCAGCCTGGTGGCACACACAGCCTTCAGCTGACAATTCAGTCCTGTCACGAGCTCTCAACCTGGAAGTACTCAGAGCTTGCGTGCTCATGCTGATTTCCTTGTTAAACAAAGTGTCCAAAGTGTCAGAAGAATGAATTCAAGCACGTTACACTCCATAACCGAATGACAATATTTCTCTCATTTTGGCTCCTTAATATCATCTTCAGCTGAGTAGGAAAGAATGCAGATTGCATGACCCCAGGGAACTTTGTTTCAGCATTTATTATTGGGAAAAGTATGGCTTTCAAAAGATAAAATGTATTTCAAATATCAAATCACTCCCTGTGCTGAGCTAAATGCTGCCTTGATGTATGCATTGTGCACTCTAAGTTGACAGATGTGAAGTACAAGTAAGAGCAGAATTTGACCAGCTAAATTTAACATAATAGAGTTACGAATACTGCAAGGGCAAAGGATTTTCTAAACATTAAATGCTACAGTGTGCCTGAATTCTGTTTTCAGATTTAGTCCTAGATAGTCTGGTTGTGGGGCTGCACAGTTACAAACCAGCAAAGGAGTATCTTTGTTTTGAGGTGGGGATCTGAAATGTACAGTGTTTAGAGTGACAGCTACTATTTCAGGTACTGGGAGGATTTTATCTAAGTTTACCCTAATACTTAAACCTTTTTCCCCCCTTCCTTTCTCAAAGAATTAGAAAACATTCTTATCTCAGAATATATTCAGGAAAGTGTTCAATTTGCTTGAATTATTTAAAGCTATAATAGGAGGGTTTTTCTGAATTTTGAGGAAGTTTTATTGATGTTAATAAAACCTGTTTTTAACAGTGTTTGCAAATGGGAAGCACATTGTTCAACTGAAACTTTTGCCCATGACTGGGGCAAAGTTTTATCATAGTGACCCCCCTGTCATGGTCTTGTCTTTACTGCTTGTACCACAGAACACTCACAGAAGTAATTGCCACATGAGATCTTGTACACCAGCATTTTTTCAGCAGCTAAATGTAACAAAATAAATTTGTATTTCTGTGCAAAACTCACACAGGAGCAGATAGGGAATCTTCCAGTGATGCAACCTATCTTCCAATGAGAAAACCCTAACAAGCTTTTCTCAATTTCACCAGTAGTCAAATTTCCAGGAAAAAAAAAAAAGGATAGCAAAGTACCACCCTTGCAACAAAATAGATAATAGCTTGGTAGTTAGTGCTTATCAAGGTGAAATCTCAGGATTTTTCCTTCCTACATGATTTCTTTTCAGAATTTGGTTTTTGTGTGTTACATAACTGCAGTGGAATTGATTCCCTACCAGGACCAGCAGGACAGTAGTAAGGAGAGCCTGGGAGCTTCATGTCTTGTTATCTTAATGAGGGAGAGCTGTGAAGTGAAACAGTGGAAACTTGGTTTGAGGAAGCTGCCATGTTTGAGTTTGGTCAGAAAAGGGTGCTGGCTGCTCAGGAGCCATGGGATGCAAAGAGATGTGTCATTGGGCTGGTGAGTGAGTGGGGCTGCTTTGGGGGGGTTTTACCCACGAGCACTTTTACTGTGCACTGGGCTACTGAGGCCACTGCTTGCTGACACCAGGTTTAGAGTAAACCATAAAAGTTTTATCCTTTGGTTAAAAGAAAGAATTCTGGGCTCAAGGAAACACTGCCTAGGATTAGAAAGGTATGAAATTTGTGTTGTGTGTGCTAAAGGAAATGAAAGCTGCCTGCACACCCCTCAGGGACAATCTCTTATTGCAGGGCATTGTCTTAATTTTATCCTCTTGACTTATACAGCGAGCACCTATATGCTAAAAAAGCAGTATTTTATGTAGGGATCATGCTGCCCAGGATGAAAAAACAGCATACCTGAGCACTGTGTATTCAGGACCTGTGTGTTTAGCAAAATGCAAAGAGATTGACTAGGTAATGCTTTGAAGTTCTTTTTCCCACTGCCTTTACATATGGTTTCTTATGGAAATGCCATTTCTCCTGTGAGAAAGGGCATACTATGCTGTCACCCCTGACTGCATGGGCACTGTACATCCAGTGGGATAACCTGCAGGAGAATCCTGGTTTTGTCACTGACTTAGGGCATGGAGCCTTTATTTGTGCAAGTGTCTTCCCTTCTCTCACTCTCCTCATTTCTTTACAGTAAACTAACTGGAAAGCACTGTTTAACATCATATTGCTGTTTAACACAAGCTTGTTCTGCTTTTTCAAGAGGGTCCATTGCCTGTGCTTTAGTCCTCTGTTAAGATCAGTATTTGTGGTTTTTTCAGCTCTGAGCACAAGTGGAG